TGTGTTCAGTAGTTCCGGACCTCTGTCCGATGCAGTCAGTTCCGGACTTCGGTCCGATGCAGTTAGTTCCGGATTTCAGTCCGATGCAGGAGGCAAGGCCTTAGTAGTTCCAGACTTCGGTCCGATGCAGAGGGCAAGGCCCTGGTTAGTTCCGGACTTCGGTCCGATGCAGTTTCCGGACTTCGGTCCGATGCAGAGGGCAAGGACCTGGTTAGTTCCGGACATCGGTCCGATGTAGTTTTCGGACTTTGGTCCGATGCAGTGGGCAAGGCCCAGTAGTTGTTATATGTTTGTATGGTATGTGGTAATTTGGGGGAGCTCACTAAGCTTCGTGCTTACAGTTTCAATTTTGGTTTCAGGTGCTTCCGCAAGTAAAGGGAAGAGCTCGGGATGATGGCATCACACACACCACAACTTCAGTTTTTGTCCTGGGAGTTGATTCAGTTTCTTCGATATGTTCTGATACAGTTGTGATACAGTTTTTCTCACAGTGTTTTATTATAGTTTTGAGATACGCTACGTATGATTTTATTATGTGATACTCAGTTTTATGATCTTTTTTATATTTAAAAATGAAATTTTCGGGTCGTATTTTTGGGATGTTTCATTCATGGTCTTCGTTAGAAGGCCCCAACATGCTCCTGGGCCCAACCAATTTTTCAAAAGTAAATTATTTTATTGATGTGAGAAAATTATAAAAAGAAAATGATTCAAAAGGTAACTCGTGGGCCCCTATCAGGTTTTATATAATCTTTGACTGTCAAGATAAATGTTTCTAAGTGGGACATACAATATGTGATTTCCATGAGATTTGAAGAATTGAAATTAATTGGCCCAAAATAGACGTTCAAATTGGCAATTTGTTTGTATTATAGACATCTGTACCCATCATGTGATATTTTTGCAATTTGTATTAATTATTATCTTTATCTTGTTCTCATCTCCTGATACTTTTTTTTTGGTGTGTCATATTTTTCATAAAAAATTGAAAGTATGGCGCTATAGATCATTCTTAAGACCAACAAAGAACAACCAGATTTAGTTGTTCAAACAAGTTTGGAACTTTGTTAGGAAATTATAAACTGGAGAAGCTATGTAGTTTAGTTGATGGGTAGGCTAATTAATAATTATTTAATATGTTCTTCCAACAGGTATCATAGAGAGCAAAATGAAAGTTATATTGAGTATACTTTCATGTATTTTTAAATTTAATACATGTAAGAAGCAAATTATCTGTCATATCATAATGAGCATCTCAATTAAGGCTTAATTATGTATGTACATACAAGAAGCACAATATAACTTAATCATCTTAATAATTAAAACATCATTAAACTTTCACAATTTTTTACATCCAATACACGAGCAAAAATAAGTTTTTATATAATAATACTCATATCAGTTAAGAATTAGTTATAGACATACACATATGAACCAGAATCTAAGTTGATCATTTCAATACTATTTGTTGGGTCAAGTTGGGTAATGCATGGTATATCCAAGAAAAATATTTGAAATTATTCTCTTCATCAAGTAGGTTAGACCATTACATTCTTTAAAAGTAAAATCATTATTAACATGTGCAAAGTTTACTTCTTTTGCCCTTAAATTAGGGCAACCAAAGAGTCTACATCATTGGAATCCACGAAACCCATTTTGGACATTGATATCCACAAGTGCACCTACACCTTCCACAATGACAAACTGATCAATTTGCACTTCATACGCTTCAAATTCCCACAAAAGAAGATGGTTCCATTTTCCCTCCTCCTTATACGACTTAGGGTTGTCGAGATCATCAAATAAGGTGCATTGGGTTTCAATATAATCCTACCAGCCACCTAAGCATCTAGTATACTCACCTAACATTCGGTTCGACAAATCAATCCATTGAATTAGAGTTAACTCGGTAATATCCCAAAAATGAATAAATTACCTGATTTCTTGTTTTTTCTATTAATAGAAGACATAATTTTTAATTTTTTTCATAAATATGGTAAAAGTTGCGGGGCATTCTTTTTCCTTTTTTAATACCTTAAGGCCTTTATAAATTTATTAATTTAGTTTATATAGGACTTAGAGAATATGATAAAAGTTATTATACATTTATACTTAACCTGAAAAAAAAACCTTTCTTTTACCATTTTAGACCAAATTCCCAATTCTAAGGTCACAAACAGGCTGCTCTTGTATGACTGGACAAGCTTTGTTTATCGCGCTCGTGATCGATACATCAGAAATTAATTTCTGATTTTGAAACAAGATTGGTGATTATGCTCGCAAGATCCAGATAGGATCGTGAGATCTATGTGCCATCCAATACACCATTTTTCCTCTACAATCAAAATCAGTCAACGAGGGTTCCAAATCAGAGCATCGTAGCAGAGCAACCACACATCATTGCCTAGGTGATGTCCTACTTCTGTATTCTTGCTTCATTTTGGGTATTCTTCATGTGCATCTAATCTATTGTTAGATTAGGAGACAGACTTGTGAGTTTATATTATTTGCAAAACCTGCAAATTCAGGGTTTTGCCATGGAAAAGGCCATTGATTTTTACTGATCGATGGGTTTTATTTCTCAGTTATGAATTTAACATAAATGTAAAGATGGAGCGTGTTCTGGCCTTTATCTGATATTTTCTTCCAGCTACCTTATGAGCATCTGTTCTGTTGGTTGATTGTGCCTACATTGTTAAGCTAATGTTTGTGCTTACATTGTTATGCTGCACAAGTAGGTGCAACATAATATTATTTGATTGCAGTTGAATTAGTGTTGTTGATGATATCTTTCAAAGTTAGCTTTTAAAAAAGGTAAATGCTAAAATCACCAGGGGTTAAGTTGATCGATTGTTTTGGATGAGAGCAAATGTATTCGGCTTCTCATTAACACCATAATCTACTACACTTTGTGATAATTTGTATTGTGACTTTGATGATAATACATTTGGTCAAATGCAAAAGGGTTAAATGTAAGAAATAGCAACGTACATTCATTAATCTTTTTATTTTTGCAATATTGTACTTTCATTTATTCTCTATTAAGACATTTTAGTATTGTGTTGATGTCTATATGAACAGGCCCATGAGGGTTTATATAGTCTCCATGAAGATGAATGATTCTAAATGGGTGGAACACACAATGCTTAATTTCCATGAAATTAGAACCTAAAACTAGAAGACAAATTAAAGATGAAGAGTTATTATACACTGCCCCAAATTAGACGTTCAAAGACTTGCAAGTCTTGGCAATTTGAATTTATTATCAAGATCTTTTCCAAACTTGTGATATTTTCAAAAATACATCACTTTTAAAAAAGTGATGTGATGAGAATTGTTAAAAGTGGGCTCCACAACAAGTAATTCTTGGTCTGTGTTAGAAGGCCCAAACATGCTCCTGGGCCCATGAGGGTGGCCTCAAATTGGTGGCCACTTATATGAGGCATACACAATTTCCATCAATACTTATTTTCCATAAAATTAGAACAAGACTATAAGAAAAATCATAGATGCAGAATTGGGATTAATGGCCCCAAATTATACATTCAAAGACTTATAAGTCTTGGGGATTTGTCTTTATTGTAGATATCTTTTCTCATCTTGTGATATTTTGCAATTTGTATTTTTTATAAAAAAAAATTGAAAGTATGAACTGGAGAAGCTATGTAGTTTAATTGATGGATAGGCTAATTACTAATTACTTAATGTGTTCTTCTAACAGTTATCATAGAGAGTAAAATGAAAGTTTTATTGGATATACTTTCATGTATTTTTTTTTAAAAAAAAAATTAATTCATGTACAAAGAAAATTATCTATCATATTGTAATGAGCATCTCAATTAAGGTTTAGTAACTAAAACATCATTATACTTTCACGGTTTTTTACATTCAATACATGAGAAAAAATAAATTTTCATATAATAATACTCATATCAGTTAAGAACTAGTTATCTACATACCTCTATGAAGCAGAATCTAAGTTGATCATTTCAATAATTATTTTTAGTAATTTGTATCCAGTTTAACGGCTTCTTTTTTTTTTTTTTTTTTTTTGGAAAAAGTATTCTCCTGGATGTGTTTAAATGGCCAACATACCCCTTGTATTACATCAAGAGGTAGCAAACTATGAAAGTAGGATACTATAATACTTAATACATCAATACGTTGTCTTTGAGATTAATATTAATAACATGATTTTCTTAAAAAATTTTAAATGAGTAGTGCAAAATGATAGAGGTGAATGGAGTGGAGCTTCAGAAGCTACAAATTGCTGGTCAGAAAAGACAGTTGCAGAATTGGAGCCTTTAATATGTGATTTTTGATTCACAGGAGCTTAATTTAGGTAAACAGAAGGTAGGATTTGTTGCAAATGAAAACTTCTGTTTATGTATGTTATGTTTATTTTTGAGTAAAATAAAACGTTTTTGGTCCCTGAGTATAGCTGAAATTTTCAGTTTTGGTCCTTATTTGAGGTTCTTGAAATGCTTTGGTCCATGTTTCAGTTAAACTGACTATATTTGGTCCCCGATCGAGTATAGCTGATATTAATTATAGTCATTTTATTTGGACAAAAGAACGTTGAAAAATTGTATTAATTATCATCCTAATCTGTTTTAAATCGAATCATTATTAATGCAGTGTTATCTTAAATATCATTTTTAACAATGGAAAAGACCAAATAATATCATTATTGATATCATTGGTAGATTTGTATTTGACTGAAAGATTCCATTAGTTTTGCATTTGGGGATTTATATCATATAACAAACAATATCATATCAGAAGATGGGAAAAGATATCTACTATAATAAAGACAAATTGCCAAGACTTGCAAGTCTTTGAAGTTTAATTTGGGGCAATTAATTCCACACAATTTATGGCGACCCACTTATAATCATTCATCTTGACAGTGGAGACTATATAAACCCTTATGGGGGCAGTTCATATAGGCAGGCATCAATACAAACCAAAAATCAGCAATTAAGATTTTGATTTACATTATGAATTCTTGTGTTTTTATAATAATTTTCTGGCTTCTCTTGCTACTCCTTGTGACTACAACTGGCAGCCAATTGGTAGCTGCAGGAGGAAATGATATGAAAAAGAAGTGTTTGGATAAGGAGAGAGATGCTCTGCTTCTTATCAGAGCTCCCCTACAAGACCCCCATGGTACTCTCTCTACATGGACAGCTGACGACCATGACTGCTGCAATTGGAGTGGAGTCACGTGCAGCAACCAAACAGGTCATGTCACAGGGCTTGATATGCGTTTCTATGGTCTTGGAGGTGAGATAAGCCATTCACTGCTTAACTTAACCTACTTGAATCATCTTGATCTTTCTTTGAATTATTTCCATGGAACCATTCCCACCATCATTGGTTCTTTGACTCGATTAAGGTACCTTAACCTTGGCTCGAATGATTTTAATGGGACCATTCCCAGGTCAATTGGTTCCTTGACAGAGTTAAATAACCTTGACCTTTCATCTAACTCTCTTTATGGAACAATTCCTCCAGAGTTTGGAAACCTCACCAACTTGCAATACCTTTATCTTAATTCTGTTGGAAGGTGTAGAGTGGAAAAGGTAGAGTGGTTGTCTCATCTCTCTCAGTTGGAGGTACTTGTAATGGATGGGGTTTCCCTGTCCAAAGCAAATCATTGGGTAGATGCAATTTCAAGTCTCCCAAAACTATTTGACTTAAGTTTAGATGGATGTGAACTGTCACAGGTCATGTATCCATATTCTTCTTCATTTCTCAACTCTTCTTCTTCATCTATTTCTTTCCTTTCTCTCAGAAACAACAATCTCACCTCATCCATGTATCGTTGGTTGTCCCCATTAACCACCAATAACCTCCTTTCTCTTGATCTCTCTGGCAACATGTTAGATGGGATACCCAAATATTTTGGTAACCTCTGTAGTTTGGAATATTTGGGATTTTATAATAACTCTGCTGTTGTCAAATTTCCTGATTTTCTCAACAACTTGTTTGGATGCACGTCCTTGACCTTACAAATGTTGATTACTCGAGGTAGCCAATTTACAGGGTCACTGTCCGATGAGATCCAGAAGTTTGCATCCCTAGAATCTCTGTACCTATCTGATAATCAGTTAAATGGAAGTATAAGTGAGAAATTGTGGGAACTACCCAGCCTTGAAACTGTTATCATTTCCTTTAATAATCTTACAGTTCCTTCCACATATCACTTGTCAAACATCTCTTATGTTAAATATCTTGATCTGAGCTCTTGCAAGGTAGGGCCTCGCTTCCCCAAATGGATTCAGACACTCAAAAATCTTACCAGTCTTGATCTTTCCAATACTGGAATTTCAGACGCAATTCCTCTGGAGTTTTGGGACATGTGGCCTTCTCAATTAGAATATCTGAATCTCTCTTCCAACAACATTAGCGGGAAAGTACCAGATTTATTATCGAATTTTGCCTATGATTCAGTGATAGATTTGAGTTCCAACAGCTTTCATGGTCCGATACTGAATGTTCCTTCCACTTTGTCAATATTAAATCTTTCCAGAAACAAATTCTCTGGAGGAATCTCATTTATATGCCAAATTGTTGATGGGTTCTTATCATTTCTTGACCTCTCTCATAACTCATTAACCGGACAACTCCCGGACTGTCTGTGGCATTTCGATCAACTAGAAGTTCTTAATCTCGGACACAACAATCTCTTTGGAAGGCTTCCTCCCTCTATTGGATCTTTGATACAACTCCAGGTGTTGTATGTATACGATAACAACTTCTCCGGAGAATTGCCTTTGTCCTTAAAAAATTGCACGAGTTTAATCTCATTGAATTTGGGGGCCAACAAGTTTTCTGGTAATGTGCCTGTCTGGATTGGGGAAAGCTTAACAGGGTTGTATGTTGTTATCCTAAGATCAAACAACTTCTTTGGAACCATCCCTTTACAGTTATGTCAGTTACCTAATCTTCAAGTTTTGGACTTGTCAATGAACAATCTCCATGGAAGCATCCCCTCATGTTTGAGTAATCTTACGAGCATGCTTCACCAAGGAGGATTCTCACAAGATGTATACTTTCAAACAACTAGAGGTTATGCAACTAGAGCGGGGAGATATGTCGACCATGCACTGATCGAGTGGCAAGGAGATGAACGTGAATTCTTGAACACTCTGAAATTGTTGAAGAGCATTGACCTGTCCAGCAACAATCTAACAGGACAAATCCCAAATGAAATTACCAATCTTTCAGACTTGATTGCCCTGAATTTTTCAATGAATACTCTATCTGGAGAGATTCCACAGCATATTGGTGAGATGAAAAAGCTTTTGACTTTGGATTTATCCAGAAACAATTTATCAGGGAAGATACCATCAGGCATGTCTCAGATGAGCTTACTGAATTACCTAGACTTGTCATATAATCACTTTTCAGGGAGAATCCCATCTAGCACTCAGCTTCAGTCCTTTCCACCTTCAACATACCATGGAAACAAAGACTATGTGGACCTCCCCTTACCAAAAAATGTCCAGGGGATGAAGAATCGAAGCAACATCGGTGATTGGTAAAGTGAGGGTGATGGGGAAGACACAGATGATGAAGTTGAGGATGGTTTGTTATTGGTGGGGGGATGGGTTTTGCTACTGGATTTTGGATAGCATGTGGCGCTTTACTTCTCAACCGTCGAGGCAGACGTGCATTTTTTCAGTTTTATGACAGCTTCAAAGATTGGGTTTATGTGAAAGTGGTTGTGTTCATTTCAAGTTCAAAAGGCTAGACACACGTAGTTTGTCCTAGTTTTTTATTTTTGATTTCTTATTTTCTAATATGTAATGTAATGTAATTTGGTTGGGGTTTTTAAATCCCCCATATCAATAAATTTGCCACCAACACCATGGGTGGCCATTTTCTCTGTTTTGTATGAAATAAGATATCCTGAAAATCATATATTCATAGCATGTAAAAACAAGATGAAATTAGAGGTGCACTAGAAAATCATAAACCAAACCAGACAGGTCTAGAAAAAAACAGTTGTTGATACAGATCAATTTGGTTTGAAACGAACCGCCTGTTTGGTAATGTTTGGGTAACTGAGAATCCATTAGATTTCTTACTTGGTAGCAGTTGCACTTCCATAACATTGCGTAATGGAAAACATGGTTAGAATCAGCTTTTTGCATCAGTGATTCAAAACTGAATGAGCAACCGAGAATTACCATTAACCCCCCAAAAAAATGGAAATTGAAAGTGTAATTTACTCCTGAGTTTATAGTTTCTATTACCAAGTTGTTTCTTGTATTTGCAGCACATGGCACTTGGATGACTACAGTCATCCAGATGAATAAGTTTTTCAAGAAAGAAACGGTTGAGAATAAAAGGTTATAAATACCATTTGAACTTGCATATTTTTCTAAGTTCTCCTAAAACATACTTACTAATGTTCCAAATTTTACTGTGAAATCTTTATCCAAGGCTGTGAATTACGAACATTTTGTGATCATTCAAAATTAGAGAGTGAAGCGGGATGTTTGGTTAGTGCTATTGTAGATAGTCTTAAGATTTTACCATGTATGATATCCTACTTGCTATTAATGTGGTGAATAAAAGGCTGCAAACTATCTTTTAGGTTCTCAAGCCTTGTGTGAAAAGGCAAACACTCGGAGTCGGATCATATTATCATAAGAAAATGAAAAGATGGAGATGGTGGTGCGGTTCTAAAGTTGAAACCATGAAAGTCAAGAGTTACAAAAAAATGTCATTTGGTGATAGAACATCACAGTCCAATCTTATAAGAACACTTCTCTCAAAATAAAAATGGGGTTTTCAAGATTGTTAATTTATCTAGTATATAACTTTTTTATCTATCATCTATACATAAGATGATGTCAATATTTAGCCACATTGTTGGCATTTTGTATAAATTGTAATCTAATGTGTTTTTGCGACATAAATAAATCAGTTATAAGTATGATGGGGGGTCAACATGATCCTTCTTGCAAAATTTTGTGCACATTACATCCATCAATACAACCACCACCATCATATAGCACCATGAATTCGTTAGGATTTTGTGTTAAATAAACAAAAAATTATGCATAAGATTAAGATGAAAGCTTTCACGGGTTATGAAATCATGTAGTCAACATTGATGAGGGTGATGCTGGTGAAGGAAATGGTTATTTGATTTTTTTTTTCATAATCAGTTTTAAGTTTTCAATAAATAAAAATATACATACTAATTATTGTTTTATGTTAAACTAAATTTCAAGTTTAATAAAATAAGAATTTAATAAAAAATAAAGTTCACATGAACGTCATATTAGCACCACATGGTTAGGATCAAATATGCAAACAAATTTAACTATAAGATGTTTCCAATTGCTCCATTTTATTAATTTTGAAATCCCTAATCTTCACTTCTTTTGAGTTACACGTTGTTGTCTTTATCAACACTTTCTATCATCCACCTTTATCTAGGGTTGGCACTCCCAACCCAACCCAAACCAAACCCAACTCTGTAATTAGTAATTAGCAATTAGCAAGTTGGATTGAGATCTCAAACCCGTTTAATTAAATGGGTCAAATCATCTAACATGTTTAACTAAATGGGCTAGATTATGGTTGAATACTTGAAATTCTTAAAATGTTTACAACCCGTTTAAAAATTAGATATCACTATACTTACATACTTCAAATTGTATTATCTTGATGAATGATAGCTTCAATCTAATGTTATGTAGTACATGTGTTTTGGCGATACAAGGAAGATAATTGTATAATCATTTCCTCATATCTTTCATAAAAGATTAGATATCACTATACTTACATACTTCAAATTGTATTATCTAGATTAATGATAGCTTCTAAATTACCATTGTAAGTGCATGAGACTGTGTTAGTTTGATCTCATTGTACGAAAAAAGAAATGTACGTCACTTATTTTTACTCGACTAAATGGTCATAAGTGTTTTTCTAAATGTTTGTAAATAAATGGTTTTCCTTTTTTTCATTTGCCATATATATATATATATATATATATATATATGGTTATGTTATTTTGTTTTTACTAACTATTGTGTGCCAGAATGCACAAATCTGGATCACCGAATGGAATAGAATCAAAAATCATAATCTGAGGGTCTATGATATCACAATATGGTAACATGTACCATATAATCACACAAATTCCAGCATAAGGGCATTTTAGCCAATTAACCTATATTTCAGCTTTTAAGGGATAATGAATTCCTTTATTTTCTAAAATCTGAATATTTTAAAATATTTCAAATTTAAAAATCTGATTTTATTCTGTCAGAATGTCAAACATTAATTAGTAAAGATATTTTTGATTCTATTCTTGTGTAATATATTTCCAATGCATATATTTTTATAATTAACCTGATTTAATAATTTAACATATATTCTTCATAAGCATTCGAACGTGAATACAAAATCATACATATTCTTACAAACTAATCGTCTTATACAATTTAATATAGTTATACATATTCTAACAGAATATCATCAAAAATGAATAAAAATATTAAGAAATAACATTCTTAAATATACAATTATTAAGCAAATACACATGATCTTTATCAATAGTCCAAATAATGCACTTGATTCAAACTATGATGAAAATGTGATATATTATCGTAAAAATGTAATTCTTCGCAATATATACTTGGTGTTGACCTCGATTCCAAATTTTTATCTTGTATGATCAATATTGAATTCCTTCTTCAAATTCATTCTGAAAGAATAAGATGCATTATTCGTTAGTATTACCAATGAAGCTAATGTACTTGTTGTTAACAAACATTCTCAAAAGACATTCTAATAGAATACATTTATATAAATAAATTCTGACAGAATACAAGCATTACTTATAATATAGAAACTATATAATAGAGAATGATAACATATTCTAACAGAATGTATTTATTTTTTCCTATCTAGCAATTTTTTTTACTTTTCCTATCTTGACAAATAAGGAGATTGAAATCGAATTCTGCCAGAGTATTTCATTTTTCCTATCTTGCAATGTTTTTTACTTTTCCTATATTTACAAATAAGAAGAGATCGAAATCAAATTATGTTGAATTCATTCTCTTTAAAACCTAAATCCACAAAAAGAAAACATAATCAACTTTCAAATATTAAAAAAATTGGAGCATTCTAAAAGAATAACAACTATAAATTCTGATAGAATGTAGTAGACATCAAACAATTGTAATTTATTCTAACAACATGCATTACTAGGTGGGAGACGATGGAGGAGATGATAAGGAAGACGACGTGTGTTGTTACCCATATATAGATTGTACAATGAAACACCATACTTCTAATCGACATTTCATCGAACACCTTTTATGTGCACACTATATCATCACAGATTCTATCAGTTGTTACTCATAAGTCAAACGTTTCATATAATATAAACACACATTTATATAGATAAATGCTTGCAGCAATTTTGTATCCTACAAATTCATATTCAAAATCAATTAGAAAGTATTACTTAAAAAATCGATTTCAAATAATCAATGGATTTCATAGATGAGAAGAGAAGCAATAAAATCGATTTCAACAAATCAATTTTTGCGAAGAAAGAAATCAATTTCAACAACTGATAGATTCTAAAAAAAATAAATTTTGAGAAAAAGAAAATCGATTTCATTAGTGTTGGTGGAGGAACTCACGACATTGATGGAGGCAGAAGGTGGAAGTATTAGTGGACAATGATCGGTTGGTTGCGACATCACCGGTGAATGGTGGATGAATGCGATGTAGTGGATGAAGTCGGAGGCGACTACAACTGTTGAGCAAGTCAGAGACGTGTTCTACCACACGAGTAGGTCAAATATATTTACTTTATTTCCTTAATTGTAGGATTTCAAATAAATGATTTTCATAATTAAAAGTACAAAATGTCCAAAATACCCTTAAATGATTATTCAAAACATCAGAATTTAAAAACAATCAACGACAAAATGAAGGGTCGTAGACTTTACAGTGGACGCACATACACCAGATTATAACAATATCCACTTTTTTTTTTAGTTTAATTTTTTAGGTCATGTTTTTATCGAAAAAAAAAATGAATATACCGTTGTTCATGATTTTTCATCATCTTCCATAGAGATATATATTGATATATAAAAAAATGATTTTTTTTATTTAAAACACACTTCGTTTTCTTTGTTTTTTTAAAGTTAAGGTCTATTTTTTATCAAACAATATTAATAAATATATCAAATTCATATTTTTTGGTACTCTATAAACATAGATTCATATTGATGTTGAAAAAATAATCGAAATTTCAGTCAGATTCACAGTGTGAATAATAGTAAGTCATATTCACATTGTGAATTATGAATTACTAAATATATACAGTTCAAATTCACAATTGAATAAATTCATTTG